AGGGAGGATCAATCAGGAGAAGCAGTCAGGACCAGCTGCAAAATTCGCCTGGGAAGTGGAAATAGAAAAAAATATGAGAGTTGTGCTTTAGCAAGTTATTATGAGTCTTGCTGAGCAAGGAGAGGGAGGATAGAGGAGGAGAAAAATAGAGGGGGCTAGAAGGGAAGAAGGAAGGCTAAACTAGGCAAATGGAGGAGATTTAGAGTGACAATATCAGTAAGAGTGGAATGAAGAATATCAGTAGAGTCCCATCCCATGTGGGACATCCAGAAGTTTCCAACAGATCTGACATCTGTTTTCTTCTTGGTTCTGAGCATGTATATCCTCATTTTCTTAGCACAGTCAGCATTTTTCCACTGCTTAGTGCTTGGGGAAGTGGTCCCAGAATGCAGGCTTTACCTCAGCAGATCTGACACACCAACATCAACACAGCCTGGCCTAGCAGCTAGAGTAGGCCCTAGGGTACCTGTTCTACAGCCATGTTCTCACAGTCACATTGTGAGGTGAACTCAGCAACAGTAATGCAACTAAATCCACACGGAAAATACCCTGAGTTTACTTCCTAGCCTAGGATCTCCCTAAGCATGCTGGGCATGAGTGTGTGCCCATGAGTTGGGGCTGGCTGAGACTGAGGGTATATCATAGTATGAAGATCCTGTTAAGGGTTCCTGTCTTTCTGTTTCATTCTCACTGTCTCATAGAAGAATTCAATGAATAAACTTTAAAAATAAAAATAAAAAATGAGGGCCTTGGAGTCAAACTCCTTGTTTCCAAATCCCAGTTGTGCTCCCCACTGGCTGTGTGATCTTAGAAAAGTTGCCAAACTGCTTTGTGCCTCAGTATTTGTGTGTAAAATGAGGATAATAATAGTCCTTCTTGAGAAGATTGGGAAGGATTAGAGGAGTCAATTCAAGTGTAGCCTTTGAACAATGCTTGATACATAGTGCTCGATAAGTGGTAGCTATTTTTGTCATCATCATGTGCTGGGAGCTATGTTCTAAGCATTTTACTTATATTATGCTATATAACGATCATTCAGAAGGAAACTAAGGTTCAGGTGCATGAGAAACATATCTAGTCCATTGGCTTTTTTTTTTTTTTTTTTTTTTTTTCACCAGAGAGAGGGAGAAAGCACCTACCAGTTGAGTATGGTCATGGTGCAATCCTTTATCCTTCATTTCTCTATCCTATCAGGTTTGGAAGCATATGTGCACACATGCTCAGTGTGATTTTTATGTCACTGGGGCTTGGATTCAAACCACAATTGGGATCCAGCTGCTTCAACCACTAAGTTGTAGGGTCAGCCCCTATTGGCTTTTAAAACTTCCTTAGATGCAGACTCTTCCTCCCACCTCAAACTGAATCCTATGTGAAATTCCAGTGCATAAATCAGATACAACTCCATGGCTTTTCCTAAAACAATGTGGGGAAGAGGTGGGGACTTGGAGCCTCCTGGCCAGCCTTCCCTTTTTCTCGCCTTTCCCAGGACAGCAAGTCAAAGACAGAGTGGAGTGGGTGGCATCACCAGCACAGAGGATAATAACATGATCAAAGAGAATAACCTCCTTGGTTAAAGTAGAACCCAGGACATTGCAGAGAAAAGTCAGAAAATGAGAGTGAGCAGGAGGGAAAGAAGGCCCTTTAGCATGATCCATACCAGATTTCAAGACAACATGACAAGGCCCCATCCACATGGGGCCTTCTCGCTGCACAGGGTTTGGGGTTCTGTTGTGACAAGGTATGTTGTCCCCTCTTCCTTAGGGCTCTGGTCTGAAAGATATAGCTGACCTGGGGTAAATCCCACCAGCCAGGCCTCCCAGTCAGGCCCAGATTGGCATTTTCATAAGGCTCCTTTTCCTCCAGAGTTCGGGGAAGGCAGTCTGACTTCCACTCCATTGTTGTCAGGAAGTACAGGGGTAGGGAGGAGGCCTGGTGCCCTACCTTTTTCAATGTCCTTGTGTTCACCCCTATCTGTTCAGGGAGTCCTGCTGTGACACTTTTTATCTAAAGACCTAGCTGCACTGTCAGTTTTTGTTTCCAGGACTTCAATATAGGTTCACTGGGGACACCACCCTGAGGAGAGATTATAGGAGAAACTCTCTTAGAGGACTGTGAGATTTCTATGGAATCACCTTTTCTGACCTGATCTCTTGAGTCATTTAGGCCCCATAAGAGCCCTGAAAGCCTAAAGTTGCAAGGCCACACAAGACACACACTGGAAGGAAGCCATTCCAAGAAGGCTCTTTGACCATGTTATTGTTCTCTGTGTGGTGGTGCCACCCACCCCATTCTGCCTTTGACTTGCTATGTAACCTTGTATATATTACTTGCCTTTTCTGGGTTACAAATCTTCATGTGAATATTAAAAGATTAGATGGACTAGGTCAGTAGCCAGGAGGAGACTCAAGGCCTAACAGGGGTCCTGGGGAAGACAAGAAAAAGGAAAGGACATATTGAAGCACTAACCCCAGGGGCAGGGACCTGTGTTGCTTGCCTATCTCTGTATGGGCCTCTGAGTCTCTGAGGGACACGCTGAGCATAATGTTTGAGACCAAAAGCAAGAGTGTTCTCTCATACATTGACCTAGAAACCCAGAGGAATATACCAAGTGATGGATGCCAGCAAGGCCCATGTCACAGGAGGGTAGGGACAAAGAACGCAGAGTACTGACTCCCAGGTTGCAAACAGCTTCTCTGACACAAAAGCAGCCTTTGTTCATGGCAAGGTCAGTTGCACAAAAGGACAGAGCACTGGAAACTTGAGTCTGACGCAGGGCGTGTATCACGTGTGCTGGTGCTACACCTGCCAGGTGATGAATGGGAAAGAGAGGGATGTTTCTGCCTCTCCTGACAGAGTTCTGTTTGAGGTGAAGGTGTGTGTAGGAGGCCAGGGAGTGGTGGTAGAGGGTAGATATGGGGTGGGCCCTGATACTACTTCCCAGATAAAGGCAGAGAGAATTAGTAGACAATGAACTAAGCCACCTACATGATTCAAGGACAGAAAGAAAGCAATGAGGCAGGGCCAAAGGGTAAGGGTGAGTTTTCCTCTGACAAACATGCCTCATTGGCACTTTCTGTCTCATCCCCACAGCAGTTCAGGGAGATAAGTGTCGTTGTCTCCATTTAACAAATAAGGAAAACGTAGGCCCAGAGAGGAGCTATGCCCTGTAATCCAGCAATTAAACCCTGTGCATACAAAGCTGGATCCTGCATGGTCAGCTGTGGTTTGAATACTAGCCCTAGTGGCTTGAAAAACACTGATCATGTATGCATGCATGCATGCGTGCCCCAAATACTGACTGGATAGAGAAATGGGGGGAAAAAGCATCATGGTGTAACCAGAACTCATTGGGGGGGTGCTTTCTTTCTCTCGCTCTCCCCCTTTCTTTGGTGAGCACACGTGAACTTTTTGAAGGCCCCCACTTGTATATTGTTGTTGTCCATCTCATAAACCTTATAAGACTTGGGCACAAAGGACTGGGAATGATCCTGTTTTACTGAATCCCAGAAAAGGTTGATGATTGGGCTATAGTCATACAGGACAGGAGAAGGGCTGGGCTTGAAAAGCTACAGCACACTGCTAGAAGTAGCACTTCCACTTCTATTCTCTGTGTCTGGTCATTCCACTTGCAAAGTGTTCCCAGATCCATTATCTCCAGGTTTGCAGGACAGAAAAAATATTTCCAATTTCTTTTCTCTCTTTCTTTCTCCTTCTTCCTTCCTTCCTTCCTTCCTTTCTTTCTTTTTCTTTCTTTCTTTCTTTCTTTCTTTCTTTCTTTCTTTCTTTCTTTCTTTCTTTCTTTCTTTCTTTCTTTCTTTCTTTCTTTTTCTTTCT